GCGTCCCATCCGCCGGAAACATCTCCGGGGCACCATGCGATGGTTTTATTTTGTTGAGTTTAAATACACTGGCGCAATATCCGCCGGTAATTGCGCCAGTGATTTTTCGCCGTAACGTGCGACAGAACTGGTTCAATGTTTGTTTATGCGACGCATTTACCAGCGCAACGGATGCAGGAAAACTTCAGGCGTATGTTACGCCGGAAAATACGCCGTAGAGTTTCCATTGCAACAATGCGCCGTTACCTGCGCCGTTCGTATCGGCCCATAATATTCCGCCAGAAAATCCGATGGTAATCGCGTGTTTTCCCGTAGTGAATTGCACAAAGGGGCCTTGAGTTTGGTATTCAGGTTTCTCCTAGAGGACTGAAGATTACACATCTTCTTTATGCTGATGATGTGCTTGTATTTTTACAAGTAACCACTTCTTTGGAACGATTTTTGAAGAGTATAGTGGAAGAATTTTGTAAATGGAAGTGTTAGAGAGTTAATGTCAACAAGTACCAAATCATATTTGGGAAGGTTGTTAGGAGATCTTATAAGAAGAAGGTGGCAAGAATTCTTGGTTTGAAAACAGTGAAGGAATTGCATTATCTGGGTATTAGGATCTTATTAAGGAGATTGCGTATGGCAGATTTTCAAGACCTTTTAAGCCATGTGACAGATATATTGAATGTGCGGGGGAAGAAATCTTTATACTTGGGAGGTAGAATTACCCTCATAAAGACTTCTTTATTATCTATGCCGAATTTTGTTCTTACACACTCTCTCATTCCTAAGAAAGTGTTGTATGAATTGGAGAAAATGTGCAGGAGATTCATTTGGCACAAACCAGATGGGAGAAAGGGATTGCACTATGTAGCTTGGGATGAGATCCGTAAACCAAAAGGTGAAGGTGGGCTGGGGTGCAGTCTGCTGTTATCAGAGGCGATACTCTATGGGCAAGGCTGGCTTGGATTTGCATCCAAAATCCGGATTCTTTACTTCACCGAACACTCATTGCTAAATATGGTGATAATATTTTGAATGGAACTTGCAAGAAGAGTTCTTCTAGTGCTTGGAAAATTATGAAGGATGGAGGTAAACATCTTAAACACATTGTCAAATGGAAGGTGGGTAGAGGGGATAAAATTAATGTCTTAAGTGATGTTTGGCTGCTGAACAAGAGTATTAATGCTTGGCAGACTTTTGTAGATTGTGGATCTTTGGAGGGTATGAAGGTTCAACAGCTTATCTCTGTTGAAGGTGAGTGGGATGAAACGAAGCTGCTGATTTTCTTTCATGAAGAACTTGTCAAGTTAATCAGGCAAGTGCATATTGACTATATCCAGAAGGAGGATCAGATGGAGACCGTGTACAATTACTCGGGTAAATCAATCTCTACGTTGGCATATGATCAAGTGATGAAAGGGAGATGTAGAGAAGATGATGGTGGCTTCTACAAATGGCTTAAGAATCTAAAGCTCAACACTAAGGTGGAAATTATTTGGTGGCGACTTAGTAAGTTTGCTATTCCTACTAATCATTTTCTCAAATTTCGAAGGCTTGTTGTTGATGACTCTTATGCTATAGGATGTCAGGAGGTGGAGAATTATGAACACATTGTGGTTCATTGCAAGTATCTTGTGGATGTTATTTCTAAAATTAAAGAACGAGATTTTATGTCCCTTTGTTTCAATCATTGGACTGCTGTTTAGAGGAGCTGAGAAGAAGTTCTGGCCGGAATGCTGGTATGGCTAGAATTTACTGTGTTGCAGTTTTTTGTCCTGGAAAAACAGAAATATAGTAAAGCTCGGGAAGGCTGCTATTTCTAGTTCTATGATGGCGGCTAATGTTCTTTCTTTAGCAATGTTGAAATCTTCTCCATATCTAAATAGCTGGGTTGCTAATCTCCCATGGGAGTTTCAGAGAGCTTGGTGCCCTCCACCACTAGATTGGATCAAGATTAATGTTGATGCCTCATTGTTGAGCTCAAATTGGACTGGTATTGGTGGGATTTTTAGAGATTACAAAGGTAGACTTCTTCTTGCTTTTGGTAAGAATAAGGTACATTGGGATGTTGATCAACTTGAAATGGAAGCAGTTATATCTATAAGGGAATTCATCCAACCTATAAGGGAATTCATCCAAGGTTGGATGCTTGAAAGTAAATGACTTATCATTGAGCATGATAATATCAACGTGATTACATTCATTTAAGATTCTTTGAAGAAGATAGATTGGCACTTGGAGAATTGGCCGGTCAAGGAGCTCTTCTTCCTTAATGATTTCAATAATGTCATTTTTTATCATGTTAATAGGGAGTGTAATAAAGTAGTTAATTTTTGTGTTACTTTGGCATTAAATGGAAGTTTTATTTTTGATAGTTTTTCTTTTGGTAACATCCCGACCTCCTTGATAGACTTAATCAATGAGGAATGTTACCCTTTTATCAATTGTAATTAGACTTGTTTCCTTCTAAATGCAAAGTTTCTGCACATTTAAAAAAAAAAAAAAGAATACTAGGAAACTAAACTCCAATTTAGCTAATGATAGAGGTCAAATCCCTCTCGTACCAAAGCTTCATTTTGGACAGTTTTTAAACACTGATTGCTTTTCATTGCTTCAAATATTTTTTTAACTAGAAAGCTGTTGTAGGAGACATTAAAAAACTTCTCTCAAGCGAAGCCTATGTTAATAAGGTCATATTATGATTTTTTTGTTTACATATTGTATCATTAAATTGTTATCATCCATAAGCTTACATAATCTCTCTAACCTAAAATTATATATAAAGAAGGGGATTACATTTATAACAGATAAACCCAAATTTAATTTAAAAAAATAATAATAATTAAAATTAATGTGGCCAAACTTTACTCATCAGCATCGTTATACGTCATCACCTTACAAACATAGGCAGATCTATAGTGGCGGCCATGGGGGCACGGGCCCCCACTGATCCAATAATTAAAATCAATGCATTTAAACTATATTAATATTACAATTAAAATATAAAAGTTAAATTTAATTTTAAACTAGCCTGTTTTTAACTAAATGTGAATCATTATGTCAAATTAATTTAGAATTTTGTAGAATATTATCTTATAATTTAAATATAATTAATCTAAATATAGTTTAAATTAAGACTTAATTCAATTAATTCAAATAATATAATCTCAATTATAAAATTAAGTTATTTGAACTTACTTCATTACCAATTTTATTAGAAAAATATTTATTTTTTAATGAATAATAAGATATAGAGTAATATATCTATTCCTTTATAACATAATAAAATATAATTTTTATTGTATTTTTTATTAAAAACATATCTCATGATTTATGATAACTTAAAAAATTATATTTTGATAATAATTTAATGACAAGTATTATTTTGTCCCCCATTAAAAAAAACCCTGCTTACATATCACTCTCGCCATCATTATAGGTTTGGACTATCATCCCGAAATAAATTAACTTATAATAAAATATTAAAATGAAAAAAAAAAAGTTTAGAAGACAGATGCCAAAAAGGTTAAATTTTAAGAAAAAGTGGCTGCTAAATTGAAATTAGTAGTAGTAGCACCTAATAATTTAAAATTAGTTAGAAGCGAATGCTCTAAATGAAATGAGGCATTCATTGAAATGCTCCAAACAATTTGGCAAAGTCAAATAAATGCCCCATTTCATTGGTCTCATTTATCATCCACTTGCCCACCGCATTTGCCCATTTGCCAAACCAGTTTCGAGAAATGTATAAGCTTTGCTGAAGGCGTAGAAATTTAGCTATGGTAGCGTTGCGATGATTGGGTTTGACCGCGTATATAAAAACCAGCTTTAAGCTGAGTAATTACGAAAATCATTCTTCCATGTAATATAGTTGTTAAGGATTGAGAGGTAACTAAGTTCTTCCATTTAGATTTTTTTTTATATGATCAAATTCGGTATTTTTATTTTATTCGTACTTTTAATGTTCGCTTAGAGATTTTTTATTTTGATTTGTGTTATTATTATTTAAAGAATTAAATTTTGCAACATCTAAATGTTTTTTTTTTTCAGTTCGAATTTAATTATTTTTTTTCCAGCATAGACATTAGTTTTTGATCTAGTTGTATGCACATATTTTCCTAATATGGTAATGTAATGTTAGATTTTTGTTAAACAAAACAATATCAAAGTTAGTTTGGGAAATTAAATATTTTTTATTAATATTTAGGTATAAGATCAATATCAATATTTAATTTCAAATTTAGTTTAGGTAAATATTCCTTTTCAAATATTTAATTAATTTCCTAAACTAACTTTGATATTGTTTCGTTTAAATATTCATTATCAATATTTATGAAATTAAATTTTCTTTATAAATATTTAGGTAAATATTCCTTATCAATATTTAATTTCAAAGTTAGTTTAGGTAAATATTCATTATCAAATATTTAATTAATTTCCTAAACTAAATTTGAAATTGTTTAGTTTAAATATTCATTATCAATATTTACGAAATTAAATTTTCATTATCAATATTTAGGTAAATATTCATTATCAATATTTAATTTCAAAGTTAGTTTAGGTAAATATTCATTATCAATATTTAATTAAATTTCTAAACAATATCAAAGTTAATTTATGTAAATTTCATTATCAATATTTAATTTCCTAAACTAACTTTGATATTGTTTAGTTTAAATAAAATCTAACACTTACCTTATCATATTAGGAAACTTTTACGTACAACAAGATCAAAAACTAATGTCTATGCTGGAAAAAAATAATTAAATACGAACTGAAAAAAATAACATTTACATGTTGCTAAATTGAATTCTTTAAATAATAATAACACAAGTCAAAATTGATAATTTATAAGATAACATTAAAACTAGGAACAAAATAAAAAAATAAAGAATTTGATCATATGAAATAATCTAAATTGAAGAACTGAGTTACCTGTCAAGCCTTAACAACTATTAATTTATACAAGGTGTTTCACACGTTAAGATTTTTCTGCTTAGGAGAGCACATGAGCGCGATGTAGGGCATACCCTTTCTCTTCACTCTACAAAGCCAGACGTCCGACACTTCTTACCCTGCTCTCTCTCTCTGCAGGGCTCTTCGATTCTTGGCTGCAATGGACCACCCACCCCTAGTGCGTGCCCTCGGCCTCCGTGGCTCCGTCGGTGTCTTCTCCTCTCCCAAGCTCATCCCACATCCTCTCCTCTCTACGACCAACCTAATCCTCCCAAAGCCGTTTAATCTCCGCCGCCTACTTCAACTTCCTGACGAGGGACCGTGTCATCGACTTCGGCAAGCAGCGTGGCCGAATGCTTTGATCCCCCCTCCTCTTACCTATCCTGCATCTCCAACAACCTCCTGCACGATCATTCCTACCAATTTGCCCTATCAGGTCAAGAAAAGAGGCGCTAGAAAGGCTTGATACACGAGAATGCTATTAGCTACACCCTCCAACCATCTGCCGGCGGACTCGACGTCCAGCCTGTAGCTCAACACCGACCTGTTCCTATTCCAGCAACCGCCATCGCCTGTCAGCCACCGCACACCCACACTTCTATCGCAACTTCCTCCCTCACAAACCATCAACCCAGCTGGGACCGTCCTCATCCCTCGTTGCCTATCCGTAAATCGAGCAAGTGCTCGTGAAACGGTCTCCGCCAACAGCTGCCTGCATCTGCTAAATCGTACACACTCCACGATGATTTACTCCATCGCCATCGTCATCGCCACCCTTTTCCTTGTCACTACCATTACCTATATCGCCTACTTAGTCTGAAATTACTCGATTGTTGTCCCTCCCCTTCAACCCGAACACAATGCCGAGATGGAGATGGACAACACTTTGCTCAGGATTTGGCCTACACTCACCTATGTTGAAGCCAAGAGTCAACGCCAATTGCTGTTCTATCTGTCTTGTCGACTATGAGGAGAATGAGGGGGAGGACACAACATTGAGGCTTCTGCCAGAGTGTAGGCATTTATTTCATTCACCTTGTGTGGATCTTTGGCTACGGCGGCGACGAAATTGTCCAGTGTGCAGGTCGTTGGTGGTGAATTGGGCTATGTAGTCGCCTACATCAGAGGTGATTCCAATTGAGATTGAACAGGTTTAGATATATTCGAAGATGTGCTATCTTTACAATTTTGTTAATTTATGATAGTAGAATTTTATGATCTTGATTTATATAAAATACGTTTATGTGGGTTGGGTATTGGTCTTTTAATTAGCATGATACGTTGTGTGCTTGAAGAAGGTTTAAAATCATATATATGTTGGTGATTGTGCTGAAATGAATAAATCAATAAACATTATTGTTGCTATATACAAGTGCTCATCTAGTGCTTATTAGGTAGGTCTATTTCATTAAATATGCTGCAATTTTCTTTATAAATTCTCCTTTCTGTATGTGACCAAGGAGTTAAATATTTTGGATGTCATACGCCACTTTCTTTTAGTGTATAGTATGAAAGAGAATTCTCATCTTATGTGCTTTAAAAGTTTACTCATGGATGACTGATAGATTCTGCATATGAGCAATGTTGTAAGGTTTGGATTTCTTACATTCAAATAATTTGGCAGACTATATCCTATTTGATATATCAGTAAAAAATTAACTTGATCAGGAATGAATCTTGAGGCAAAATCAAGTTGGAAACATAAAAAATTAAATTGGAGACCATATAAATTTTGATTTAAGCAAACTTACAATTGAACTGAACATCTCAAAATTACGAATCCAACGACACCAACTTCAACTCAATCCGAGCCCAAATGAGTCCAAATCAAAGACCCAAAGCGCATTTGAATGGTTCAAATCATAACCTGAATTAACAAATGGTTTCCAAACATGACATGCTAATAGTCGAATCAAGCGGCATGACGAGAGGAATCCAATCAGCCCAGGATCATTGAATTCCGATGTCATTAAGACATTCAAATAATCATTAAACAGTCCACGATCATGGGGATCAATATTAGCAGTCTATTCAAACCACTCCCATCTTGACCATGATCATCCCCATATTTACAAGCCATGTTACTCTCAACAAACTATAAATAACCTCCATTCTTCTCATAAGAGGGGGAAAGGATCGAGGGGAGAAGAAGGAAAGGAAGGGAGGAGTTTGAGAGTTCTCTTGATACTGATAACCGTCGGAGTTCATGCCGACCACTGCCGGTGTTCCTCTCGACCTCTGCCTAAGTTCCTCCCAACCATCGTCGGAGTTCTTACCAACAACTGACGGAGTTCCTTCCGACCGCAGATGGAGTTCATGTCGACCACCCCCAGAGTTCCTCTTGATTTCCGCCGGAGTTCTTTCCGACCACATTCGGAGTTCCTTCCGATCACTGTCGGAGTTTTTCCCAACCAACAATGGACTTCTGCAAGTCCACCGACCACTGCCGAGCTTCTGCGCATCCGCCAACCATAGCTGTTGTTTATCTCAACCATCACCGGACATCCGCCAATCCATCGACCAATGTCAGACATCTGCCAGTCCACCGACCACCGTCAAACTTCCTCCAGTCTGACAACAATCGCTGTATTTCATCTCTATTATCACCGGACTTTTGCTAGTTTGCCGATTACTGCCGGACTTCTTCCCGACCACCATCGGACTTTCGCCAATCTGTCGACCGTTGTTGGATTTCCGCCCGTCAGTTGACCATCACCAAAGTTCTTCCTGAGCGCCGTCGGAATTCCAGCGTCGCCTGTCGATCACCTATGGTCTTTTCGACCATCGTTGCTGCCAACTATGATCCTTCTAACCACTATCGCCCACCGACTATGGTTCTTCCAACAACCATCATCAACTACGGTCCTTCTGACCACCGACATCGGTCGACTACGATCCTTCTACTGAATATAATCTTTCGAACCTTCGTCGTCCACCGAATAAGGTCCTCCATATCTCCGTCGCTCGCCGACTACAGTCCTTCTGACCTCCGTCCTTTGCCGACTACAGATCTTCCGACCTCCGTCGCCCGTTTACTACAATCCTTCTGACCTCTGTTATCCACCGATTACTATTATCCTGACCTCTGTCTCCCGCCTGCTACAATCATCCCAATCTTTGTCGCTCATTGACTACAGTCCTCCTGATCCTTGTCGCCCATCGACTACAGTCCATCGGACCTACATCGCTCGCTGACTATAGTCCTGCCGCTCAAACGAACATATCAACATTGATTCTTCCAACTTCTACCATATAATGCACTATATATGATGTATTTTTGCAACTTCGAGCAATGACCTTCCTCCTAAAGAAGGGCCTCATTTGTAATCAATTGTTAGCACTAATGGATTAATTCAAATCGGGCTAGGCCTTGTGATTTTTCTCCTCTTAGGATTTTCCAAATAAAAATTTTGTTGTCTCTTATAAATGCTATAACCATATTATTTTTTCCTGTTTGTGTGCTGGATCTTCATAGAAAATTAAGACGCTAAATTATATCACTCTCTACCACCGCGAATATTTTAGGACGCTACACTATTGAAGTAGACTTCTTAGTGTTTTTTCTAGTTTCCATAAACAATATGAAAGCTTTCTTTTTCTGAAAACCGGCATTTTTTTCTTCTGAAAACCGGCATTGTTTCTTGAGGTTGATGTTTATTGTTCATCTTTTTAGATTCTTTCCTCCGTGAATTATCAACTAATTATCTGCATATTCTTTCTTCGTGATGTTAATAATAAAGCTCAATAAGACATTGATATTCATATTTAAGATCTATGAAATAGATGCTCATTTTTGGCCTGCATCATCATTATGTATCTGACTAGTTTTGTTGTCCATATGTTGTTCCATGCATGCTAGCTGACTGCTTGGATGAAAGGAATGCTGAGAAATGAAATGTAATTTCGCAATTTATGCCTTGCTTTCATGAGTTGAATATCATAGTTTTGAGTTATCCATCCTCTTTCTTATTTGTTCTTGAACAAATTACTAGCTTGATGTTTGAATTCTTCAAATGAAACATACTTTTGTGAAATTATGATGTTCCAATACGTTGCTATGGTTTTCTTCTCGCTTTGGAGTGTTGATACTGCCCATGTTTTTTCTTCTTAACCTGTTGCGATATTTTTTGACATTCATATAATTTGAACTGTTAATGAGCTGATCTTGATTGAACATATTTTATTTGTGTTTAGCTCATTACTAAAATATGTTCAAAATTTTATTTAAATTTGATTACCCTTTTCATAGTTGAGTCGAATATTTTTAATTTGAACAGAGCCGTTTGCGAATAATGATATGTTTAACAGCCGTTTAATTTTTCTTTTTCTTTTCTTTAAATTGACTTTTGTTTTGACTTGAGATTTTATAAAATTTTTATCTAATTATTTTTTTCAATAAATATTATTTATTAAAAAATTTATGATCATTAAGTTCATGAAGCAAGTAGAATGAGAATTAGATTGGTTTAATTGATTGAATGATTCTTCTACCTGTGTGAGCAAAATTTTATGCAAAGAAGTTAAATGATGGGCCTTCAAGATGGTTGCACTAGTTAATGTTGAAGGCATGAGGAACATTAATATTAGAATGGCTGATGAGAGGGAATGATTGATTTATTAAGCATAGCTTTAGAGCCAAGTTTTGTATTTGTCGAGGATTAGTTGTTGTGGCATTCATGATGCTGATTCATTTCTTATGAATATTTTTCTTAATGATGTGGTGTTACATCTGTCAGGGATGTAAATCTTAAATACAGGACCTTGAAGGAGAAAATGGAAGGGGTCTAACAAGAAGCTGGAAGCAAAATTTTATGGTAATATGTTTGCTAAGAAGAAGAGGATGGAACCTGCTGCGGAATTCAATGTAAGTTGTGCTTTCCATTTAACAATTTTTGTTGGTTATTTTAATTGTTAAATTTATTGTATTTGCATTGGATGTGCGTATAAAAAATTGTAGATATCTGAAGAATAGAAGTTGCTGGAAATCGAACCAATGAGCGTAGGCAGTTTTACTTGATATTTTCTAATTGTTGAAATCAATAAAAAATGACAGAAAGAAAGATTGCATACGCCAAGTGAAAGAGGTTTCCAAATCAAGAAACTTTTTTTGGTGGGAAGTTAGATGCATAGCCAAATTTTATATAAATTGAAAAATAATATTACAAACGACTAACAAATGGGGATATAAACCAGTGCAAAAGTTGCAAAAGAGAAAGCTGAACAACAAAACCAAAAGATCTTCCCAACTCTACAAAATATGATCAGTGAAAAAAACAAAAACATCACATAATAAAAGGTATAAGAGAAATTCAATATTTTTTATATTTCTTAGGGATAAGCATGTAGTCTTTTGTCACTTAAAATACGTACCAAATGATTCTCTTTGCGCCTGCTAATGTTTCAGTTGATTTCTTGGATATTGGTTTAAATTAAATGTGTCACATTTGGTAAGCAATTTCACATTTAAAATCACTCAAAAATTTTATTGATATATATTTCTTATTTTGTTTATATAGGATTCCTTTATGCTTTGGTATCTGTCATTTTGGATTTTTATACCAATAGCATAAGTGACATCACCCTTGCTTTTGTTATCAAAATTTTGTTAGAAAGACTATTTCACATCATGGATCAAACCAAAACAAATCGAAGTAGCTAGTCAAAAAATATATCATCTACATATAAGGCTAAAAAAAAAAAAAAAAAAATTCCCCCAAATCTTATGGTACATGCATTGATCCGTCAGATTCTTCACAAAACAAAATGAAATGTAAAATTCTGAAACTTTAAATACCATTGGTAGCAACTTTCTTTATCTTATGCATAGACCTTTTAAATTTGCAACCAAAATAATTATTCAATTTAGATGAATACTTTTAGCTGTTTACTACAGGAAAAATATCAATTTCCGGCGTCAATTTTTCGTTGGAAAATGGTCAAAATCCGCCGGAAATTAGTATTTCCAACGGAAATATTTACGCCAACTTGACGCGCGTCAGAAAAGTTTTATCGGCGCAAAACTTTCCACCGGAAAAATTTTCAGCGAAATTCCTGCGAAAAATTTGTCGGAAATATTTCCGGTGAAAATAAACTGTGCCAGAAATTAAAAGAAAAAAGAAAAAAAAAATTTGTCCGTTGAAGCCCCCAACCCCCACCCTTGCTGTCCAGCCAACTGGTCTAACCAGCCCTTGAATCGTGACCCGTGACTCCGTTTGGCTCAGCTCGTGACCCGTCTGGCTCAACCCGTGACCCGCGTGATCCGCCCCCGCAACGCATGCACGTAGAGGTTCGAACCCCCGCCCTTCTGAACTTCTGCTCTCCACCAAACCACCAGGCCACCTTTGCAAAATATATAAATATGTGAGATATTTTATATTTATATTAATGCAGATAGTAACTACTATTTAAAATAGTTAATATATTAAAAGATAAAAATAATTAATATATTTAATATAATTTATTTAAAATATATATAATGTGATTTTAAAATATAAACTTAAAAAAATTCAAAATAACTAAATTATTTATAATGGTTTTATGATAATTATAATATACATACAAAAAATTTAAGAAAATTATTTTGGCTTTTAATAAATTTATAATTATTTTTATAAAATGGGTTTGGGTTCTTATGAAAATTTTCTTAATTTTGTGGTGTTACCCTTTTTTTTTGTTCAATACCCCGACCTTTCATAGCCTAGGGTCGCAACGCTTCATAATTTTCTTGGTTATTTATTTTTTCTTATGAAAATATAATTATAATAAACATAAAAAAATTAAGAAAATTATTTTTCTGTTAATAATTTTTTTAATTATTTTTATTAAAAAATTTATTAACAGAAAAATAATTTAAAGAGTGTTTTATTTATGCGGTTCCAAACTTTTTACAATTGTACATATTATTTCTTGCATCTAAAAAGCATTTATTTGAGAAGATCAATAATTCACAACTTTATGCAAAGTTGAGAAGAAAATAAATAATGTACTTTTGACGGCTGAAGCTAAACTTATCTTTTCTAATTACATGCTTCTAACAGGCTAGGTGTCGAAGCATTCTATCACTTAGAACTAGTGGATAAAGGTTTGAAACCAACGGCAAATCCTTGCCAAAAAATATTTAAGCGTTGAGCCATTACAAACTAATAGAAATTCCACGGCTCTGCTCTGCCAATTTTTATCGTGAGAATGGCTCTTATTTATTGTAGTAGTATAAATTATAAAAGGATAAATCTTTATTTGATTGCTATTAAACAAATAAGAATTTAACTATATAAAGACAATAAATAAATATAAGAAGTATATAAAATAGAATATTCTTAATAATGAAAAAATATTACACGAATAAATACTATATATTCTAACTATAAATACTATATGACAACAAATAAATCCAATAACTCTATTTGGTTGGAGGAATTTAAAATTTATGAGTATTTTAAATATAATATAAACTAAAATCATTTATATGAAAAACTTTGTCGTTGTTAGCCCCTTGTAAAAGAAGTAAAACTTATATTTGAAATACGACCATGTCCGGGATGGTGGTGGCGCCAACTACAAAGGTCGATGATTATTGTGGATAAATAAATGGTGATCACATAGCCAATATTATACTTCCTTGAGAGATAGACTAATGTTTCACTATCTACTTGAAACAAGAAACTAAATTATTTTCATAAATAAATTCTTTATAATTTAATTTATCCCAAAAGATAAATGAAATATTCACCTATCATTTTGAAAGTAAAACTAACCAAGGATATGGTATAATTTGTGTCCAAAAGATTTTACCTATACCTTAGGAAATAACTAAGATAGTGTTTATTTTAATATTGGTTCTAGACCTTCAATAGAGACAAGCCTCTATAGGTAATTATATATTCCAAGCGAAAACTCGTGATTAAAGTGAGGAATAGATTTTTCAAATGTATAAAGATTTGATTAAAGGTTTGACTTTATCAATCTACCAACTTGGAGAAGATTTGATTAAAGTGAGGAATAGATGGATTCATCATGGAATCTAATAATGCAGTAGTTGGAGGAGTCATAAGGGATCATAAAGGGAGGTTTATTAGCATATGGTAAGCATTTGCTTCATTGGGATATTTCCCAATTGGAATTAGAAGCCGTCAAATTAGTTAGAGAACACTTCCAAGAGTGGATGTTTCAATGCAAGGGTGTTGTGATTGAAGGAGATAACATAAATATTAAGAAAATGCTTCAAGATTCAATGAGGAATTAAAATTGGCAGCAAGGAAGGGTTTGGAATAAATAGTTTTCCTTTTTTAATGATCTCAATAATGTAGTTTTCCATCATGTATCTAGAGAGGCGAATAAGGTGGCTGATTTATGTGCCAAATTTGCTTTATGTAGTTCTTTTGTTTAGGATGTTTTTATTTCTAGTTCAATTCATTCTTCACTGTTTAACTTGTTAAAGAACAAATGTGATGGATGTGGTTCTTTAAGTAGGTTGTAATAAGCTTTATTAATGCAATGTTGCATTCTTCAAAAAAAAAAAAGAAAAAAAGAAAAAGAAAAAAAGAGAAGATTTAGATTTAGTTTGAATTTAGAATTTAGTTAACCCTCCTAAATAGGAGATGTTGAGGTATGTGAAATTGAGGCTTATGTTTGCTTGGAGTGAGAGCTATTAGCTAATATCCTTAAAAACATAATCACCTTATGAATACAAGCTATGACGACTTTATTAATATGAAATAAAAGATTTTTAATATAGAGACTTTAATCATTACTTTAATATGCAAATACATCGAAGTAGCCTAATGCAATGATGTATGAAAGCAATGTATAAATAAAAAAATTTATTTATTTATTTGAAATGGAAATTCAATCCAGGGTCTGTATAAAAGTATGGTGGACAAGTTCTAACACAACGGGCATAGATTTCTAGTCCTATAAATATAAGTTCCAATGCACTTGCTTATGGTCTACTAACTTCATATATCTGATATGATTTCAAAAGATAATACTTCTCAAAAATAGAGAAAGCATCTATTTTTAGAGCCCTATGCTTAGAATAAATACTTTTAAAATTTACAACTCTTTATACACAATCTAAATAAATAATCTAGACCTTTCCATCTACATTTGACTTTTGCATTTTCATTTGTATCTAGATACATTCAACTTTGACTCTTGTACTGAAGAAAAGAGGCCACATGAATATGTAAATGCAATACATGTATAGTGTAATACAAGTGTATATAATTTAATAAATTTAAAGTGTGTCAAAAGAAAAATGATCATGAATGATTAGACATCTAGAGTAAAGAAAGTAAATAGACATATAAAGGGTACCCTTAGGGAAAAGGCATTTGCATCACACCAAAATAACTATTGGGCTAGCCTAAGTTATAATCAGTTGTCATAGCAAATCATCTTCAGCAAGTGAAGAAGGTTGTGTAAATTTGATATATCTAAAGAGGTTTTATTATTTTTGTTGTATGGATTTTAAGTTGTTTGTTTATTAAAGGCCAAAGGGTATTTTTTAATATGAATTCGAGCCTTAATGATTTGGTATTTTATTATTAAATATTTAAATTATTTGATTTTGATCATTTAATTTTAAAAAATCATGTAAGCTAATGACGGCAAAGTATAGAAGCTAATAACCTATGAGTCATAAGGCTCATAAATGTAATATACATCCATTCCCCCATATAGATTGGTTGTATAAAGTCCATGAAGTTTATTTTGAGTATTTTAATTGATGTTTTGAAATAGTTTTATAAAGAATGGGTTAGTTAAGATTCACCAAATTACATTGAAGCACTCAAGCCCGCATCCAAGCCTTATGAATCAAATGCACATATACCTTCCAAAATGATTCAAGCATACGAAAAAAAAAAAAGATTTTATTTGTTAAATATGTAATAAATACCTATGAATTAAATGCATTTGTATCCTTCAAAGGAATCAAAATAATACATGGATGCCTTCTTAATTTGATTTAAGTATTTATTAAGTGAGTTGTGTATTAATTTTAAGTTGGAGTTGTTTACTTTAGTCGACTTGAGTTTAAGTGAGATAATTTAAGTAGATTTGGTTTTAATTTTTA